CTTCTCTCCCAGTTCTGTGCTGGCACTACTTTGTTCTTCCTTCTTCCTCCTGCTACATGACAGGAGGATGCTCTCTCGGGAGGTTGAAATGAAAGTGGCCCGACCACAGACTTCCAAGCACCTAACCCTTAAAGTCGAGCCTTTGAGCTGCACAGCATTTTCATTCCTATACAGCTGCAAACTAATAATCAGGGAAAAACAACTAGTGCGTGATTATCGCCGGACTCGGCCAAGGCAATGCAGGTCAGCAATAAACCTCATCTGAAAGGTAGGTCATGTCTCTTGTATATTATTTCCCTCCCTCTTCAAAGCTGCAGCGATAATTGCATGCCGAAGGAGGAAAGCAAAAAAAAAAAATAGAAACAAAAAAACAAATCAACAAAAGCAAAAAGCCAAGCATCCGATCTATCTTTGCAGGAGCAGGTCCTCTTGAATCAGAACCCTGGAATTGTTCTGCAATCGACTCAGCGGACAGTTACCATCTGTTTATGGAAAAAAATGTTAATAACCCCCAATCATAATCAAATAGGCAACCACTTTACTTTAAGTACCTATTAACTAATGCTAAATTACAATGGAACAGCTCTGCAAGTACTTCTGACATCCACATGCACATCAGCAGTGCCAGCACTTTGATCAGGGCTATTAGAACAGATACCGAGTGAACCGAGCACGATGCGATTCCTGAAACATCACACAAAGTGTGGGCAGTGTTTATTTACTGGTCTTTCTTTTCTCCCCCTACCTCCTTGTTTTTTTTTCAGAAAGAAAATACGTAGATGCATTTGCACAGACGTACACACCACCGACCACAGCAGACCCCATGAAAGCCCCTTCCCATGTGATTTGTTTTTCTGTCCCAGGATGAGCATCTATAATAGATTCCCTGGTGCCCAGGAAGGCTCGAGGTATTTCCATCAGCGGAGCATCACCCGAGTGGTCATTCTTTATTCAGCTCCTTATTTCCATGGTGCCTGTAAAAATTAGATTTCTAAATTCTTCCTCCCTCTCCTCTGGGTGGAAGGGGCCAGGAGATCTAAAAACTGCTACAGACAGAGAGGAAAAAACAGGAGAGCTGCACACATACTTGCACGTGCAGACACAGTGTGAACACACCTTATTTCTTCAGGAAATCAGATTAAAAAGCAATATATTCTTTGCTATCTGTAACAACTCTGAACCATTAGCTAGCACCGCCTCCACCAAGGAGGAAACCTCATTTAGGAAATATAAGAAGTTTTTAATCACAGAGCCTGGAAAACAGTTCATCTCAGCAAAACAAGTACTCTCATCTCTGGATTTTTTTTCTAGCTTCTTTCTCTCCATCTCTCTGCAAACACTTTTTTTTTTTTTTTTTTTTTTTAAAAAAAAAAAGGTTTTGCAGCACCAGGAATACATCACACAAATATGCATGAGCACACTCTCTTTATCCCTAGATACTTGCAAATGTAACAGGAAATAGGCAAAAGCAGCGTATATTTTAGTCCATCAACCTAAGCATTTATATGGCCTCCATCACTGTGCCATCCGAACATTTTGTTAGTCCCAGGACTTCTCTCTGCCGTTGTTATTGTTTTATGAAATTTCATTTTTGTTAGTCCCAGGACTTGCGTGTGGCTTTTTTTATTGTATTATGAAATTTCATTTCCTGTCATCTGCTGGGGTGCTATTTCAATGGGAAGACTTGGGTTTATGAGGCTCCCGCTTACAAGGCTGACCCCAAAAGGTGAGGCGTAAAACCTTCCAGTGGGAGCTCTGGACACGGGGATGGAGAAACAATGAGCGAGTGCAGGATGCTGCTGGGCTCCTTCCTCCCAGCTCTTTCACAAGAGGAGCTTTGTGTGCCCCTCTCCTGCCACCTCCACCGCCCCACCAGGTGGTCCCACAGCCTCTTTGCCTACAGGAGCCACTTCACCCATCCCTACCCACGGGATGTAGGCAGGGGGCTCTGAGGGTGTGCAACAAGCCAGAAGGGGATGAGCGTGGGCACACCATCCTCTCCCTGTCCTCCTCCAGCACACGTGCCCTGAAACAGTGAACTCCTTTTTCCACCTAGCAGATCAGCCCAGGGATGCTCGCCAACCTCACGGGGTCTCCAGCCCATCAGCCCAAGCACACCTCTCTCAGCAGGCCACAAACCATCTGCTGAACATTCGGCGATGCAGAAGGGAAAAGATGTGCTCAGAGAGGCTCATGAGGTACTTTGGGTAACGTGTCCAACACGAGCACACGATGTTCTGCGTCCCTGACAAAAACAACAGGGAAAAACCTGCTCCTGCAGGCCTGCCAAGCTGGGATTTCAACAACAAGTGGCAACGTATCAGCTGGCTGGGAACAGCTCCTGATTCAGGGAGTGATGCACTTTCCCACAGAGACTCGGGGTTTGGTGTTTTCTGTTTTTTTTTCTCTTAATCCGTGATAACATGTTGGATGCCACACATGATGGCTCCTGCCCAGGAATTAACGGGTAACGAGTGACCCAGAGGAAAATGCCAGCTAAAAGAGATTGGGAAGTTGTTGCTGACTGCATTGTGTCCAGTACGAGGTGTCACACTGAGGTAAGACCTGTACACAAGACCCTGGGAGAAAAGCTCAGGACCACTCGGTAAAGTCATCTGATGGTTTGATAGGATCACAGAAAGGTTTGGGTGGGAAGGGACCTTAAAGACCATCCAGTTCCAAACCCCTGCCATGGAAAGGAAAAACAAGGTTCTAGGCTCATGGACCAGTTGACCAGCAAGGAAAGAAAGTTTAGAAATTATTTTTTTTTAGAAATTACATTCAGAAAAAAGTGGAGGAGACTGTGACATTTGTTGAGGGGGTGAGAACTCTATCAGCTGCCAGGGCAGGCCACAGCCAGAGTACTGCCAAGCATCTCAGCCACTGCAAGGCAATGGAAGAGTGGCATGCATGGTGTGGATAAAATGCTGAGCTTTTCTAGCAAGTTTGTTGCAAAGGAGGAAGATGCAGGCTAGAGATGTAAAGCCTTGTGGCACAGCAGTTGACATTGGCCCCATAGCAAAGGAAAAAGGCAGAAACGACACTAGAAAAAAAGCAGAAGGATCAGAGGAGGTAAAGCCATCTGTGAGGAAGACTGCTCACAGGCCAGGAGGATCTGCAGCCTCCAGCAGGGACCAGAGTTTAGGTGGTATGATTAGGCTGCCTTAGCTTAGAGAGACAGAGATAACAAATTAAACACATCTTTAAAACCACAGAGATATCTCTGTAATGAGTCGCAGGTGCCATAGGCACCGGCAACATCATCAATAAAACTTTTAGGAACTCTGCAGAGCTGTGGTTTCACATCGGAGATGAAGAAATACAGCATAATGAAGAGGAAACGAGGCTTTTCTGGTTAAATGTGGTTTTTTTTCCTCACAAGGACTGCAACACACAGGTCCATCACAGCACACCCACTAACATGCATAGCCAAGCACCTCTGAACAAGCACCACATCTGTTCACGCAGACCGGTTATTCGCATCGTGTTCACTCCTCTTTGCTTGTTCCATTCGGGTCAGAAGTTACTTTCCCTTTTCATATTTGTATCCCTCAGCCCCATCAGTGGCAAATGCTCAACCGCTTTAGAAGTGTTCTGACAAATCCCACCAGAAGGCACATAACATCATCTCAGTTCTACAGATGGGGAATTAGAGCAGAGGCAGAGGTTAAGACAGCTAATTGACTACGGACACTGAGTCAGGCAGCAGAAGAGCTGGGAATTGATCCCAGGAACCATGTCTTCCATTCCTTTACTCCACCCACCAGTCAGTACACCCTACCAGATGGTTCCTATCATTGGACATATGGACTAAATATTGCTAAGTTGGTGTAGAAGATTTGCTATTTAATTAAAGTCCTGTCTTCCATCTCCATAGGATGCATAGGGGAAACTCCAGCCAGAATCCCATCTGGACCCACTCAGGATACGTCTCCTTAAAGCAAACAAAGCTCCAGGCAAGCACGAGAAACATTTCCAAACCTGTCAACCTGCCCTACAACGCAGACACCAGCAAGGCCAGGCAGCAGGCTGCGACTCGGGAGCCTTGGCAGCAGCTCGTGTTTGCCAGAGCCTGGCTTCAAAACAGCCCCTGCGTGAGCCACCGGCTGGGCTGGGAGGGCTCTGTCATGTGAAGGCTCCTCCTGCCTCCAGCGGGCACCACCAACGCTCCCACCTGGAGGCAGTGGGACCGTCACAGAAATCAGCTGGTAGCCAGTCATCGGCTTCCTTCTGCCACTAACACCAGCACCACACAGCAAAATGACACGACATCTAACAGAAGTGAGAGGCCAGCTCTGCAAAGCAAGCAGCAGAGGCCAAAGTCACTTAAAAAAAAACAAAAAAAACTCCTAAGTGGTTATTTTTAAGCAAACAAGGAAAGTTTCCAACAGAGAGACAACAGAAAGACCTTCTACATCACAAATGCAGGCCAGCATTTGTTTTCCTGACACGGACCTTACAAATTTATAGCAGCACGTTGGTCCCCACTCACAAATCAGGTAGAGAATTGATGCACCTGTTTTTTCTAGAAGAAAACAAAATAATTTCACATCCTTCTGTTCCCCCTCCATGCCCTGCCCTCTGCACCCAGTACAACCAGAGGGAAAACCTTTCATCAGGGCCACAGAAAGAGACTTCATCCAAGCACATCCTCCTCTGAGAGCATCTCCATTAGCAAGTGGCTGCAGGGAGCAGCCAACGTTTTTCTGGACAGCCCATGGGTTTGTTTACAAAGAAAACACTCTGCCCAACATTAATACACGTGCACACACTTCTGAACAAGCCACAGGGCATACAGAGAACCACCAACCCATATAACTCCACTGCTCTCTTGACAAAAGAAGAGGGCTGAACAACACCCTCGGGGCAATATCCTCTTTAGAAGGTTTGCACCGATATTGACAACGTAGGAATAAAGCCACAACACCTTTCCATGGGCGCTATAAGGACCTGGCAATCCTGGAAGGTGCCTCCTGCTCGAGGAAAGAGACTGCACGTACCTTTCATCCCGAACTTGGACCGCCGGCCATACTTGTTGATCATAATAAAGAGGACCACCAAGAGGACACAAGCAAAAGCCGCCAGCCCAACCGCTATGGAAACCTGGAAGGAAAAACCTGGAGTCAAGGCAGTGGAACTGGGGAGAGCAGACTGGATGTAGAGGTGCCTCCCTGCCTGTCTGAAGGCTCATATCATCTGCTGCAGCCCCACGGGCATCAGCTGTGGAGGAAAATACAACAAAAAGAGAGCCCTGATACAGACTGCAAGCACCATGGGCTGCATGGGATGCCTTTGTCAGCAGTGCTGGTCTGGCACCAGTTCTCCCAAGCCTCTCACCCCATGTACCTGCAGGGGAGGAGGACCTCTGCTCCAGTGCCTGGCCTCTCCCCTCACCATACATCATGAGCTGTCATTTGTGGTGTCCCTATCGGGCCTTGGTGTCACAATGCTAAAGCTATACTGACCTCAGCTTGGAATATGCAGGAGCAGCAGAATATTTAGAGCAATTCTCTCCATCCAGCCATCCCTCAGGACAAAGAACAGGGGGCAAAAAACATAACCACAAAAAAAGAGAACAGAAGAAAACAAGAACAACCTCCCCCCCCTCAAAAAAAAAAAAAAAAAAAAAAAACACTTTTTTTTTCCCCTAAAGCCTCCAACGTTTCCCTATTTATTCTAATTTTTAGTGGTAAATATTTATGCTATAGCAGTGTCCAAAGTCCTTCACTGGAACTGTGGTTCCAGTGTGTCAGTGAACAAGCAGAGAAAAGAAAACCTCCCTGCCCTACAGGGTTTACCAACTCGGGCTTATTTTAATATTTATGAATATTTATTGCTTCAAGTCTTTGCTCGAGATGCTTTCATTACATTGATGTAAACAACAATTTCTTTGGCATTTGGCCAATTGTTCTCCTGTACTGCGTCTTGCATTGCATTTAAACTTCACTTCATTTTACACAACTGTCTACTCTAATAGAAAATGTATCATTTAACCAAAAAAGTTATTTTATTGTGCAACATTTTTCCCTGCCCTTGATACATCAGCTAAGATATTTTTAAATTTTTCATTTTACCACACATTATTTTCATCCCCCAGATTGTTTTCTCTGCTTTATATTTAATAATCAGCGCACATTATTACCCTGATCCCACTGTTCAAAGCTTCCACTTCAGCTATAGGAGAGTTTCAGTTGGATGAGAACTGAAACCAAGGGGAATTGTGTTTTGTTCATTCTGTTAACACTTCGTGGATTTCAATATCTTAAAACTTTCATATAGCTAGAACAATTATATAATGTGTTTTTTTCCAAACTTGTACACCTTTTTTTTTTTTTCCCTCTACCTGGATTCTGTAAAAGAAAGACAATGGTGAGATCTGATAAGCCATGGGTTTTCTTTCCTTTTTATTTTTGGCGTACCCTACAGAGCAGGAGGGAGGGCAAACTGGCATTGACAAATTTAAACCAAGCTAAATCCGAGTCCCTCACAGGGCTAGACTTAACAGTTCGATAATAGTATGAAACACACGGCCGGCTGTTTGTTTGTTCTCTGGGTGCTACTTTCTCAGAGCACGAATTTCTGACCTGCCAGCAGCAGCTTCACAGGATGCCTGATTTTCAAAGGGCTGCCTGGTTCCACACTGCAGACCCAGGAGGCTCACATGGTTCACATCAGAACTTTGCTTGCCCGACACAAGCCATAAAATCCTTCTGATTGTTGGTTGTCTTGAATCACAAAGGAAGAGATTTTGCCTTGCAAACATCTCAGAACAGCAGAGGTCTGTAAATACTGAGCCGTCATTAACGAGAAATACATGCAGAGCAGTTCTGGTGAGAAGAGGACGGGACTCACCCCAAAAGTGTCCTCCTCTGGTTTGTGGGTCACAGTGATGGGTGGGGTGGGACTCACTTCGTAATCACCGACTGAAACCAAAACACCAAAGAGAGGATTCAGTGAGACTCCCATGGACACTCCAACCTTACAACTGAAAATCACTGGGGTTCCTGGTCCTCTAGGGTGGGTGGCCTCCCACTGAGCCATTTCCTAGAAATCTATTGGGTTAAGTAGGGCTAAAATACAGCAGGTTCAGCACAATTTGGTCTAAAGAAACAATTACATGGATAGTTTTAGGAGGGGGAGAAAAAAAGGAAAAAATGCATGGAGAAAACACAATGGGAATTCAGTCCCACTTCTCATCCTGCTCCATATTACACGGCACATTGAACATGGGCCATGATACACAAGGTCCTTCTACAGGACCTCACTCACGGGAAGCAAACAGGACTCCGGAGACACCCCAGATGAACCCCCCAGTAATCTTGCTCATGTATGGAGAAGCCAGAACTTTGTGTGACCTCAGCCTCAACTTGCTTTTGACTCACTAGTTTTTCCTCCAGGAGCACGTAAGAGGCAGAACAACAGGAGGGAAAGAAAATTAAAAACTCCCACAATAGTCCAAGTGGAGGGAGACACTTACTTGAGACAAAGTTGTCCGTGCTCTCTGTGGAAAGGACAAAGAGAGAAGCAACACAATTAGCAGCACAGCAAAGGGAGAGCAGCCTCATTCCCAGCCCCCCCCAGACACACTCTACCCACCCCAAGAGCCCAGGAAACCAAAACATTTCATTTTTTATCCTCTAGGACAACTCTAACTGGAAATTGCAGCAGACATGTCAGCAGAATATCCCAGGGGTCAGAACAGAGTACACAGGGGCCTCAGGCTGAGACGGGAGCAGAAGGATGCTACAGCGATGCCAAAACAGAGGACAATCAGCAGCACGTTGTGTGGGACTTCTGCTAAATGGCTCAGCTTCCAGCAAGCAAGCAAAGCTCAGCAGACACCTGTGCTCAGCTGGATGGAGGTGAGGGTAGAGGCAGGTTTTGTCAGTCTTCACCCAGGGACAAAGTCCCACGGGGACAAGGACCAGCTCCCAGGGAGGACAGCCCAGCTCGGGGCAGGGGATTACAGGAGACCTTTCCTGGGCTCACTCAAAAGCCTCCTGAATCACTGCTGGAAGATAACAATGTCTGTACTGGATATGTATAGAGGCAGTGTCTGTCCTAGAGCTGCCTCTTCCCCACGCCAGCCCCTTGTGTCAGCCACTTGACTGCTCCAGACTATTCAGTAAAGCCCCTTCAGCTCTGAAGACAGCTGAGGGCTCCGACGATGAGGTCTAAAGCTCCCAGTGACACTCAGTTTACATAGTATGAGAACAACGTCAGCTCTCAATTCACTTGCCCATGTAAGAAATTGAGCCTGATATTAACTGGAGTTTACACAGCTTTGCTGGCAGAGGGCTCCTGGAAGGATGAGAAAAAGCTCAGGCTGAAATACGGGTGAGGTTTGGAAGGGAAGCAGGAAGCAATCCCCAGGTGACAAACATGGCTTTCCAAAACAGGGGGAAAAGAACTGAAAAAAAATATTTGTGTGTCAAGTCAAGCAGAAACAACTTGTCTTGGCTTTTCCTAGCAAGAGAAATAATTAATTAGGAAGAAACACTTTATTTGGAGAATTCTTTTTTTTTTTTTTTAATCTAACACAGACAGTCTAATCATAAAACATTCGCTGACTCTACATTTTCTTCTTTCCATTTTTCTTTGCTGGACTAAAACTCAGCGGAAACCCACAATATTTATTTTTTTTCCCCACTTAAGCCTTCCTGTTTTTTGAAGCATAAAACATAACCAAGAAATTTCAGTCAACTTGACTTCTGTGAAAAGTTGCCAAAGAACTGAGCATTCGTGAAGGGGGAGGTAGGCAGACCAACCTCTGTGGATTAAACAGGGAGATGGCAGCCTATGGTAGAGATGCCAATGACAACATGCAGTGAGATTTTTACTGGGAATGGCACAAGTTTGCCCTGGGAGCTACTGTCCTTGCTCCTAGAGCCATGATAAGGCAGAGAGACAGGTTATGGAATAACATCTCCCATCCAGTTTGTAATAAAATATTTCTCTCCCAACCCAGGCAGCACAATCCAGTTCTGTACCAACTACAGCTTGAACATCAGGGGGTTCTAAAAAAACACTGTCATGGGTTCTTTCTCCATGCTGATAAGCCTTCCAGGTCCTGCTTTCATTAAGCCTAATAACCCCATCCTGGATAGTTTTAGCAAAATTTTTGCATGTTTGAATAGCTATAGGCAATAAGCTTCCTGAATGAATCACAATAGGGAACCTTCAATTTGAGGCATTTTCTGGAGGAATCTACCTTCAAACGGGAAATAAGCGTCAGCTGCATTGAGTGTTAATGTCAGCTTTGGCAGCGGATGGAGCAACGAACTTCAAGTAAAGTAAATTACAGCCTGGATTGTGCTGACAGGGTCTACCAGGGTGAGGAACAGCCTGGGACTTTGGATCAAAAGAAATACGAGAAATGGGTCATTTCTTGCTGGAAGATGGTTCAGAGTCTGAAAGCACTCCACACCAACAACACATACAAGGTGTGGGTGACGATGCGCCAAGGGCAATGTTTTACTTATATTTCACACAAACAGATTCTCCCGGAGCCTCTGACACAAGAGGTGCTTCAGACATTAACATGCCTTCCACATCACGGCACGGCTCAGATCCGTTTCCAAAATCAGCTCTCCAGAACAGCAGATCTGCACCCTTTTCTGGAGGTCCAGCACCTACTTAGAGCTGTCCCCATTTCACAGATGGGGAAATGGAGTCACAAAGGTGGGACCTGGCAGAGCTGACACTGCAAACCCGTGCCTCACCTCACCCACCTACAGTTCATAAGCTGCTCTTCCTTCCCGACAGCAGGAAACATAAATAGGTTGGATAGCCATACAGGGCATCATCCTTGAGGCCTGAATATAAATTTTCCACTCCCATTCATATCAGCTCATTTGTTCAATTGTCAGATCTTCAAGGCAGAGATTTGGGTTTGCATTTATGATATTTGACCTGCGGGAAAATTCTGTGTACATATATGGTGTGATATAAATAATAAATGAGACTACCATTGGTATTTTTCTATATTTAGCAAACGTCCTATTTTGTTGGATTTTCTTGGGCTGCAGGGGCCAATTTAGAGCTGCCACTTTCTCATGGCATCATTCCTGAAGGCAGCAGCACACAGGGATCTTAACCCCATGATGGCCAGCGTGATGCTGCAAAGCCAGAGAGCAGACAAAAACCTTCCACGTTCCTACAGAGCAGACAAGTCGCCACAAGGTCTCCGCTGCCCCCTCAGAGCTGGATCTTCATGTCCTCAAATGCTTTTTTGCCTTTAAGCTGTAAGTCACTCGGGAGAGCACTGGGGCATTCCAAACAATTGGTTGAGAAATCCTAGCAAACTGATGCAAAGCAACTAATTGAGCTGTCGCCTTTTTTGTAGGCCTGTCAGCCTAGAATTGCTCGTGTCATATTTAGAAAGAAAACAATCCCGACAATGCTGCATCCAGCTACAATCATTTCTCAAATGCAAGCTAGAAGAAAAAAAAAAAAAAAAAAAGATCTGCATCACTTTAAAGGGGTTTCCTTTCTTTAGCTTATAACGACAGCCACATAGATGAAAACTCTCTCTCCAAAATTTATCTTCTTATGGGTCCCCAGAGCTGATACAAAATCCAAAATAATTAACCAATCCTATACCCTTCTCCCGCTGAAATCCCTAAAGATCTTAAATATATATATTGCAGAATATGTTACAAAACACAAGCATCTAAACAAGTTAGTCTCTCGCCTCTCAGTGCAATTTGGACTGACTTCCATCAAAGCTCCAGATCAAATTCTTCCTCTTGATACAAGCAACAAAAAGTGGGATTTCCTGCTATTAAACTGCATTGCGAGCTCAATTCCTACACCAATCCACATCAGGCCTCATCGATATGTGGCTGATGAGAACCAGGACTCCCAACACAACCCCAGCCGGCAGGTTTCAGGTGAACCACGTACTCGGGGTCAAAATCTTGCAGAAATGCTGAAAACTTGACAAAAGGTAAATTTATCCTGGTGCCTCTCCTGTTATATATGTCAGTTCCCATACTCCCAGCCAGATACTGGATTAGATACCTGCACCTCTGAGCTTTCAATGGAGGCTGATTCTTCTTCACCAACTTTCTTAATTTTTGTATTGATCACTACATTAAAGAGTCACAACACCAAAGCACATTTTTGTAGGAGAACAGTACTGGTCAGAAGAGGCCTCCAGAGGTGACCTCTTCCAGAGAAAGGCCACTTTGGGTTGGGTTGGGTTGCCCAGGCCTTCTCTATTTAGGTGTCAGGATTACTAGTGGTACCATATTTAGATTGGTCCCATATTCAGATTGGGAAAAAAAAATGTAAAGAGATAAACTGAATATCCCACCTGGAAAAGGCTTTTCAAGGAAATGTCCCTTGATGGTTTGGTTGGCTGAACCCAGCTGGTTGGTGGCCACAATGGTGTAGTTGCCATTGTTGTAGTGAGTGGGCTTGTTGAAGAGCAGGCAACCCTCCGAGACCTCCCCTTGCTGGTAGAACTCCATGTGGATGATCTCCGTCTCCCGGAGGACCTGGCCGTTGTGCAGCCAGTGGAGGGTGGGAGCTGGATTCCCATGCACTGCGAATGCAATGCAGTGCTCCAGGTGCAGCACCGGCTCCTCCAGGGTTAGGATGCGGGGGGGATCTAGCAGAGAGAAACATGGCAGGCTCACAGCAACCCAATACCCACGTCAAGCCTCGTGCACCGGGGAAATTAAGATTATTGAATGTGAAGCCTCCAAAATCCCTTGTTCCTTTTATTGCTCCCATGGACGTCTGCAAAGAAGGAAGACTAAATCATGAGAACCACTCAACACTCCCCAGCAGGAGGATCTGAACCATAACCTTGGGCTTGCAAACGGGGTTACAAATTAAACACGGGGCTGGTCCCTTCACCAGACAAGAAATAATGAAGCTTGGAGCTGCCTGGTCCACACGCCTATCTATGGCTGCGCTCCTTCCCCCTGGGGATCAGAGGGAGGCAGCCTGTTCCATGGAGGACACCACCACATAGTGCCATCACGGTACACGTGTGCAAGGTGCCCATGGGGGATCTTCGGTCGCAACGAGCGCTTTTGGATTTCATAAGCTGTGGAAGCAAGTATCCCCCAGTGGCTGCCGGTCCTTGAGGGTTTCGACTGCCTGAATATCCCAAAGGAGTTCCCACCCGTCGAGCACCCTCCGGGGGTGTTTTAATTAAAGCGAGGAGAGTAGGACAGAGAGAAAAGCAGACACCACTTGCAATTTATTGCATATGCATCGTCTCCCCCGACCACGGGCACCCCAACAGTTCAAATGCTGCTCTTCCACCACTTCTGAAACCCCAGTTATGACATCTACATACTAGGTCCTGAACCCCAAGACCAGCAAAGTATGGACCAGAAGAACAGAGTTTAGTGCAAAGAGCAAGGACACAGAGATGTAGGTCTTCCCTAAACCTCTCATTTACCTGAGAGCATCCAGCTGCAAAGGCAACCCACAAGGGAAAGCAGAAATCCACCAACTTTGACCCCATTTGGGGGAAAAAAGTCATGCATTTTTCAACCAGTAAAGGTGGTAGAAGAGAGCAAGGTACAGACCTGGTGGGAGCAGAGCAAAATTCTCCCCCCAGCCACCCTGAACCACATAGCCATGTCCCAGCCACCTCGCTCCATTTGCGAGCCTAGATCTGCATGTGGCTTATTCACATCTTCCTGGCAAGGATGATTCAAAACAGGCATCCACCTACACACAGAAACCCAGATCTTTTTTGGCGTGAAATTGCAGCCTGAGTGATGGGTCTGGGCAACGAGAGCAGGGGTAGCAGAAACTGTCAGCAGCTTAGAGGATTACATGGGTGAAAATAGGCACTGGCATCGTGCTGTTTAAGATGGGGAGGAAAAGCAGCTAAAACGCAGTGCAAAAAACACCCGCCTGCTGACCTCTGAGCTGATGTCAACTTTAAATACCTCCATTCTTCAGTCCATCAATACTTACTGGGAGGAAGATGAAAGAAGAAAAGCATCTGCTCTCCTCTTTCCAATCCCCTCTGACTGCCCTGTCTTTCCAGGACCTCGTGGCTCCCGCACTGAACATGGACCACATGGGTTCACCGACACCCGCCAGAAGCACACGTGGTCTCCTCTGCCTAGCAGGGCTGGGGGACTGGGGGGCAGGTTTCCAAACTACAGATTAAGGGCAAATGTTACAGACACAGCAACGTATAGTAAATCTCAGCTGCTTGAGAGCGCAAAGCTGTGTAAACTTCCTCTTAAGGTCAGGTTTGTGTTAAGTTATATTAGAAAGCACACAGAAAGTTTCGCTACTTGCAGCTGAGAGTGAGCGGTGGAAATCTGACACGTGTGTGTTTACACGGCGTGTGCTGTTTAACTTTGTAGGAGCAGATCTAGGAAGAAGCAATAGCATCCCTGAAATTAGAGGCAAAATTTACACTGGCTTTGGCAAGGGTGACATTTAACCTCTCACACAGCATCAGGGTGAGCAACCCCGTGTTTGTAAAGAGAGTTTTAGCCCCTCTGTATCTTTTCCTCAATCAGCTGGATCTGCCAAGGGACAGATGGCAAGACAACCACCACCCGCATGGTTCTGTGGATCCTGCCTGCATAGTGCTCATTTCTGCAAGGAGTTTTGCAGAGTACTGACCTTAAGAGAAATGTACAAGGACCCACCTCTGTGCTCTGCTCCTAGTTCTCATCCAAAAAAAAAACAGAGTACCACAGGTAGCAACTGGTTCACGCAGTTCTCAGGGCATCCCTCCCTCCAGCCTCTACCATCAAAGCCTTGCCACGGCTACTTACAGTAGACGGTGAGCAGCACGCTGGCATTGCTCATCCCCACCACGTTCTCAGCGATGCAGGTAAGCAGGAACCCGTTGTCCTCACTGGTGACATTCACCAAGGTCAGATTGATGGCGTGAACGTTGGTCCAGTTGAGGTTGGTCTATACATCACAGAGAAGCACAGGCAAAAATCAGCCACTGGTGGCTTCTTTCCTCCCTGCTCCTGCTCCCAGGAGATGAGGGTCCCGGTTTCCACATAAAATGCAAGAAGGGCTTGAAAATTCAAGGACAAGTAGGACCTGGGGGAGGTGAGGCATTTCCTCACCTGATTAAGTTCACCGTTACGTATGAGGAGCACTACTGAGAGGTGAAGAGCCATAGCACTGTAGCATTGATAAACACAGCTTGTCTCTAGAACAGCTTGCTTAGCTGCCTGCTTCAGCTACAGCTATTGCAGACACCTCTGTAAACAGGTAGTTTCATTAGAGGAGACATGAGTTAAGATTCAATTAGGGAGCACTGAGATATGAAGCTATCTCATGTTCACTTTCCTGTCGCACAGAGGGAAGTTTTTGCAATGCCCTTCAGATGTTTCCTAGGTTCTCATCTGGATAAGGTACAGCCCTCTATTTTCCTTTGGATGGGGCTGTTTTACATTTCCCATTGCGCTCTCCAACATCTACCTGAGCCCTGCCCTACATACGTGGACGTGGAGATCCCCCAGCTGCAGCCATGTTCCGATGTCCCTCATTCCCTACCTGGTGCGTGTTGATGGAGTGGAGATCCGCCACCGTCCAGTCGACGTCGGGCAGTGGTGAGCCCGAGCCATTGCAGGTGATGACAGCGTTCTCCCCTTCCCGCACCGTCAGGTTCACGTGGCTCACGCTGATCTCCGGGAGGTCTAGGAGGGCAGACACCGAGGTGCTTAGGTGCGGAGCAGCATTTGCTGAAGCTAGCTGTAGAACGTGTACATGTGGACCCAAATCCTGCCAGGCTGTGTGCCAACTCAGCCCCCAGCACCTTGCAATAAGCAGCAGGAGGCAATAGCATGGCCTTCTCCTACCAAGGGAAGGAGGGAGCATGGAGACATGAAATAGTGGGGACTGAAGAAACACCAGCTGAGCAGACCCTCCCATCAGACTCTAATCCAAAAGTTGTGCCCAGTTCTGGTTGCCCATCCCCTCACACAACTGCCCTCCCTATCTATTTTAATTCCACCAAAGCTGATTTCAAGGGCAATTACTTGTGATGGCAAAGCTGCATGCACTGGGAGAGTACTCAAAGTGTCCCCACCTCTAGGGACGTGGCACAGAGCACCCAACACTCCAGGCAACGACAGCATTCCTCTGACTTGTAATAATCAAGAGAAGACAACCAAAGATGCATCTTCATAATAACCACAGCTCTCCTAATAAAAGGCGCCCTTGTTCTTCCTCGGTTGTGGCAGCGATTCACTGATCTATGGTGGCCCTGATTTACACGCTTTCTTTGCTCGCTGCCCCAACTACCAAATACCCTTGCAACATGAAACAAGACAGAGCTGGCTACAAGAAGGGCAAGCAGCCCTTCCATCATCCATCCATCACACTGACCCAAAGACAGGACCCTCTGTGTTCCCAAATCATCACCCTGGTGTCCCCTCAAGTCTAATGCCACCACTGCTGGAGTCACCTCTCTTCCCATCCCTGATCCCTAAGTTGTTTGTTGCTTTTTTTCCCCTCTCTAATCCTTACAGATTATTCTTCTGATTTGGGGAGGAAATTACAGTGCTCTCTCAAATCTTTTTAGTTCATCCCCATGCAGGCACGCTTTGGCCAGTTTCCAGAGCTTAGTAAAGGGACATCATGAACTTGGGAAAAAAAATTAAAAAAATAAAAAGTCACGCAAATAAAAATGCGTGTTGTTTGTCTACTACTACTGCAAGAAACAAACCCAAATTCCTAGAACAAAGATCAATAATCAAAGAAAGAAAACCTCTATTTTTCCTCCTTTTTTCATCCTGAGTTTGACAGCTGTTATGTATAGACAGTTTAATTGTTCTGTTGAAGGTACACGTCCTTCCCCTTACACTACAAGGAATACTTTCCAGTAATAGCAACAGCAGAGCAAAAACTGATACCAGACAGGCAGCTGACGTGTGAACAAGGTGAGGGATAGCTATCGAACATGCCTCATGTTGCTCCTGGGGCCACTGGACTCTGTTAATCAGCAGGAAGCAGAAAGAGACACATGGTCACTCCTGCCTCATCCCTACAGACACGGGCTTACAGTTGAAAAATTAAAGCAAGGAAAATGGATAAAGACATGTATTTTCTAGGAGTGATTCCTCTTATCAATATGCCATTTCTAGGATTTGTTAGACAGAGGAAGAACAAGAAACCTATCAGTTCTCATGAGCACAGCATCGCACTTTGTCGAGCAGTGCCATTATAGTGAAGGAAATCCCCCAAATCCTCTGATACCTTCAGGCACTTAAACAGCAGCCCCACGTTTACCCTGATACTCTATATTTAATCCACAAACCACTGTGATCAGCTTCAATCATCTTGTTCTTGACCACGTGGGGAGATATTATGGCATCAGCTTCCCTAAGTAAAGGGGTCAACTGGAAAGGGCAGAACAGGACAGGGCTCCCCCACGGCACGGGCTGCCCCTTACCGCACTGGGTGATGTTCATCTCCTGCAAAGGGATGACTGCTGTGTCCATGTTCATGCAGTAGAGCTCCTGGGACTGCAGGTTGGCCTCGCCCTTCTCCTGCCAGAGCTGGATCCAGCGGATGTCGCAGCTGCAGTTAAAGAGGTTCCTCTCTAGTCTCCTACGGGCAGAGAGAGAGAAACGACAGTGGGGTGGGGAAGGAGGACCAGGGAGATCTCCTGGCTCTGTGCTCCCCAAGGACAAAGGGCACCAGGGAGATGCAAAGGGCTCTTCTGAGCTGATGGAGAAACTCCTCCGTGGGGTATTCTGGAGCACATGGTTCCCATCTCTTCTTGCTCCAGAGAGATGGAGGTTGTGCATCCATGTGCTCACACACACTCCTCCCTGAACAAGGTTTTACATCTTCCAGGTCAACACACATGCACTCAACATCTTTCACTGCAAGGACTGCACAGCCACAGCTCAGTCCCACAGTAATACCACTCCAACATCCCAGGCATTCATCTCTCAGCAAAGGAGCAGGCAGCTTCACACCGTCCTAAAATACTGATCCACATCCTAAAATCCTACGTCGGTGGGGGTACAGGACCCTGCTGGGGAAAGCACACCTCTGGCTGCACCAGCACTCAGCAAAGCTGGCAGTTTTTCTCCTTAGTAGTGTGTACAAACAGAGCCTCCCAGGGCTCCAGGACATGAGCTAATGTGCAGGATATCATGCATTTTAATCAAATCAAACAGCTCTGCGCTGAGACCCTGCTGACCCGGCCGGGAGAAAAGGGAAAAAGCACTGCCTTTAATGTACTTCATTTAAAACACACTTATACGTTTTATATACGATGAATGTTTATTATTATCGATTTTCCAACCTATTAACCATTTCATTTACATTTTAAAGCCCTACGGCTCTCTGTGTAGATGCAAGGAGGATGGGTCCCAACAGGGGGGAGACCCCGGTGCTCGGCCAGGACAGAGCTACCAACCCAGGGGGCTGTCTCAGGAGAAAGCCTGGACAAAAGCCTGCCCCCCACATAACCATGAAGCAGAAAAAAAGCAGGGAGCAGAGTATCAAGCACTGAAAAGGTGAGCTCAGTCACCCCAGAAGAGAAGGGCTTCTCCAAACATCAATCTATTGCTCCACGTAGCGTTTGGATCCCTCCCATCAGACGAGGGGAAGCTGCTTTTCTGGTCCGTTCCACGCGTTACTGCAAAATTCATGCTTGCTTTTACAAAATTAATTCCACTGACTAACAGGATTTGGAAAGAGCCTTTCAAGCACGCGCAGCTGCTGTTGGGTCTGTAACGGCACTGCAAAAGCAGGAGGAGAAGGGAGCTTCTGTCAGCACCCAGGGCTGTTGAACTTTAATCCTAACGGTGTCAGGTTGATCCTCCTCATAGAACAAGATGTCATCCGGTTTTTATTTTTATTTTTAGAACAAACAGAGTTAAACTTCACTTCGCGCCTTTTCCTTATTGCATTGCTTCCCTTTCACAAGCACCCAAACCTTCACAAGACAGGTCCGAGGCCTAGGCAAGAGACTTGAAGGCCAAAGCACCACATTTAAGAGGCCAGAGCAGATTGGCACAGCGATTTGGTGGAACCCAGCTGACAAGGCACTCTCTGCACACCACAATAGGTACAGTCAGTGCCTTGCACAGGCATCACAGCTTCATTGCAGCCCCAAATCCAGAGCCCACATTGTCTTGGGGACCCCACATCAGTGCTGCCAGCAGGGCTGGATGCTGGGCAGGAGCAGGGGACAGAGCCCCACCATCACAGGACAGGACGTAAGCAAGCAGGAGCTCAGCTGATGTTAGATCAGGTGGCTGGACGTGTACCCAGGGCCACGCAGTGAACAGGGGGAGCTCAGAGGCAGTGGGGGTGAAATTCTGCTCTGCTACAAATATCCTCACAAAACGAGGCTGCCGGGAGAGCCACTGTCACAGCACTTAAGGGCAGCTCTGTAAGTAAGAGAAGGCAGCCTTCCCGGCCCATTGCTAATTCATGAGGGGCCATGAATAATACAGGAGGAGCGTGCTTCAGGGCAGAATTCACCCACGACCTGCCCCAGCACCAGTGATGTAACTCGCTCTAATCGAGGCCCCCACAGGGGCTTTTGCACAAATTAACTCCCATCACTGGCTGGACGTGCCAAGTGCCACCAGCTGCTGGCATGGCACCTCAGTGTGAATGCACCATGGGCATCTAGATGTGCACACAGATGTGTGCACCATTTTTTTCTCACATGCTTGCAAAAAGCACACTTGAGGTGTGGGAGATGCCTTCCCTCCTTGCTTGGAGCTTTCCCTGCCATGATGGCTGGCTCTCCAGAGATGTCTACAGGGATTTCAGTGCTCAGCCTGCCCTGGACCTGCCCCCAAAAATGAACCCCCATCTTTCTTCTCAGCCCTCATCAGTATCCCTGCCTTGTGGCATGCATGGCTCATTAGGAGCTGCGGCCCCTTCCAGCCCTTTCTCCTGCAATTGCTCTAACACATTTGCTCTTTCCTGTTGCAGATTTAACAAAAGCTAAAAGCAAAGGCTGGTCACAGGCTGGGCTAATGAGCACACGACAGAAGCGAATGAGGATATAGCTCTCCTCAAAGAGCACGTTGGCAGGGCTTGAACCACTCAGTCACCCCCAGCCAGCTCGGTCACCTCCGTTCCAGCCTACAACAGAAATGAGTAAAAGCATCCCCAGTGCCTGCGACCCTCTGCTTGCAGAGATAAGCACGCCCCTCCTTCCCTGCAAAGAGGAGAAGCACCTCAAGGAGCTTCCACCACGTGCTGTAAGGCACCACCACCACCCAAAGCTGAGGGACTTCACACACGAAGCAGGTTTTTTTTGAGCTCGGCAGCTAACAAAGACACACGCCCTGTCCCCTGTCTCATCAGCTAAAACAAAGCTGTCTGCAGCTAGAGCCTCTCGGAGGGCAGCAGAGATTGCTGCCACACTTGTGCTGTCTGTTTTGATTCACATAAAGCTGCTGCCGAGGTTTCGCACGCTCGCAATTAAAACGCTCTCCTACCTCGGGACTCAGCCTGCTTCCCCGAGCAGGAGAACCAAAGAGCGCCCAGCGGGGAGAGAGCAAAATCTATTTTCATTTTCCATTTCTATTTATTTCCCAGAGCCTGTGCTTCTCGTGGGGGTGCAGCCAGACTTGTTGTTTCCAAAGCTCTGCCAGAAAGGGAAGGGCTCAGACAGGGAGCGATGCACGGTGTCCGAAAACTGAATTAGCTAACGCTCAGAGCACGCGAGTACCAGCCATCCAGCTCCAGCTCTATTACCGTGACTGTTGGTGGCAATAAGTTTTTAAGCTAGAGGCACATTAAACGTTAAGTCAGGCTCATAACAGGGATGCTGCTGTGCCCCATCCCTACCAAAGCCTCTTGCTGTAGCGTTGCAAAAACCTTCTGCAAGGCTTGCTGGCGGGGACTGCTCGTGTTAGAAATGGTCCAGGCAGAGCAGGGAGATGTTCAGGACTATGGGGTTTCAGACAACCAAGGAGGTAATCGGATCCAGAGTCTTAGGTCTTTCCGGGAAGGAATTTCTTGAAATGTCAGCCTTAAGCTCTCAGAGGACATGACAAAGGAATCCAAGGACATGACAGAGGAAGCCAGCTGTGACTCGTGGATAAGAAAGGCTCTAAGCCCGATGTTTATGAGCTGTTGCAAGTGTCAGACACTTCCCCGCGCACACGGAGCTTCAGGCTTCGCAGAGCTGTGTACACACTGGCTTCAGCCCTGCTGGTCAAGGTCAGCCCGTGCCGTGGGAATTGGGGCTGGAGTTACTGGAAACCATTCCAAGCCCCGCTTCTGGCCAGGAGGAGGAAGAGATAATTTCCTTTGGAAGTGTGCCTCATTTTTGCCATCCTTTCTTCGGTGAGTCAGCAGGGGACAAGCTCAGCTCTGTTCAACAAGAAAAACTCTGTTTTAAAGTGTTATCTTTCCTAGCTTGAGAATCCTCAAAGGAAGCCTAGAGGCTGTTTTGAGCCCCAGGTTTCCAGCCACCTGCTCCTCTCATGGCATGGCACAATCTTCACGTGGCATGAACTTCATGTTGAGCCTTCTTCTACTCTCGCCTCCACAAGGGGCTTTGTCCGGTTGCACATTCCCTGGCACTTTCCATGTCACACAGCTGTGGCTCTTCTCCCAGCACCCTGCTGGAGACAATCCTCCCATCATTTCCCTTCCCACCCGCTCTGAGCTGCACATTGAGGTTTGGCCTCTGCTGAAGTCCTGGGCCACACGTTCCATCTCCCTCCCAAATTCTGGAAGCCTCCTTGAAGCTCACCATGCCAAGAAGCTGTCTTCTACTCACCCATCTTCTGCATTGCTAAAAAAATAAAATACAATAAAATATGATATTTCCACTTTTGCACATCCTTTACCAATTTCTCTCCAGCTTGGGGATCCATTTATCCTCATTAGCAGCTGTGGCACTCAGGACCACATCCACTCCATGAGAAAAAAACATTTCTTTACCTTAATTCCCAGCATCTTTACGTGAATGATTATTCAAAGTGTGTAGCTCAAGCTACAGCTCTGTGAGGTCTTCTCTGCAAAGCTCAGCAGTTTCCTGGCCCTGGCAAGGATGCTGCAAGCACATCTCCAAGCCACATTACCACCAGCTGAAACCTTCCTCTTCCTTCCTGCTCTAGGAACCAGCATCTCTACGTTATCCTGGTTGTACCTGTGCTCATGTGGAAGGAGGGCCCCTGGGGACACGGAGCCCAGAGGGAAGACGTGATGGGAACTAGCAGTGACAAAGCATTTCTTCTGAACACCGCCGACCCGACCAGGCTGTGGCTCCTGCTCAGCAGCAGCAGGCTCTAAGCCCGTACCTCTAAGCTGATCACTTGAGCCCGTGCCAGGGGGTGGCGTGCCAAGAAGCCTGTCAGAGCACGATGGCAGGAGACGTCCAGACGGGTTGGGCGCTGCCAAGCCTCTTCAAAGGAAATGCTGACACCACGCTTCGTGACAGAGCTGCTGTCCCACTCCTCTCCTCTTCCTATCAGCCAGTCCCGTGACCTCCCACGTTCCTTCCCACGTTACTTCTTTCATCAATCAGGGCTCGTTATCGCTGAGAAAACCGCTCCGAGCACAGCTCCGATGGGAGCCAAATTGTTCACTTCGTTTCCGTTTGCCAGGCTGCAGAGCCCTGGCCCCAAGTGACTCTGCTGACACAGAGCGAGGCCACCTCCAGCCCACCAAATTCCCTGCCAGCATCAATGGCGTGGCTCAACACGGATGCATCCTTCATCTGGTGGGGACAAGTACACTTTGCTGCCCACACAGCACCATCTCGATTCCTCTTGGGCTGGTATTGGTCTTTTAAGCCTGACTTGGAAGACCTGGGGCATGCCCAAAGAAACAAGACAGATCCAAGTGAAACAAAACCACAAAAACGAGCTATGTTGGAAGCATCCCCATCAATCCTCAGGTTCACTGTTACCCCAAGCCCTGCCGGTGCCTCTCACACCCAGGACCACAGCCCTGTTTGCTCCTCCACACTTCCTGGGCAGGAATCATCAATCTGAGTTTTGCCAGACAGAGCAATGACAAGAAGTAAAGGTCTAAGCATACAAATGACTCACGCTATTACACATGAAACCCGAGCCAGGCTTTAAAGAAATATTTGGGGTTGTAATCAGCAAGAGGACAAATCCCAGATTCAGCATTTTAAGTTTGCAAGCCAGACTCCCCATCAGGGGGGCGTTTCTCTATTTCTAATATCACTATTAGTATTTTTCATTTAACAATTTGACAGAAATAAAATACACTGCAGTAACACCGGTGATAACACACTTACTCCCACTTGAAAGACTGTCTTTATTCCTTCATAAGTCACTTCTGGCTTACAGCTCTATTGATCATCAGCGAGGATGAATGGAGCTTCCCAGGATCCTCTGGGAAAAATCCTACATATATATATATATATTTAGACCCACCAAACAACTATTTCTAAAATTCAACAAAACAGGTCATCAGGGCAACGCTCCATTGATTTCACGTCCACTTTTTCCTCGAGCACAGCACTGAACACTCCATCAATAATTCAGCAGGCTGAAGGGCTCTGCTGCCCCAGGGGAGACCCTATCTCCTCACCCACACAGGAGCTGGGAGGAACCTCAACTGCTAGAGACCGAGGGAGTCATCCAGCTAAAAAGCAGGGTTGTCTTCTAAAGAATGGTCGGCAGATAAAGAAATACAGCTGGTGTCACCCTCCAATAGAGGAAGGCCAAATCTTTGGGAAGATCCACTCAAAATCTGGCCCAGTGAGTATTTCTAGAGTATTTCTAACCTTTTGCCAGGGTCAGCCAGCCATTTACTACCCCTGGAATGACTTGTTCATCATCCTGACGTTAATTAGCCAGCCCCTGTGAAGTTAAAAGAGAAGCGGTTCTGCTCTGGTGCTCCCATAGCCAGGGAATCCTCCCAGGGAAGGTGCTGACCACTGGACTTTTAGGTAATTATTCACAGGCTTCAAAACAGCTCTATCTAAAGCTCCTTCCTCCTCTCAGCCTCCCTCTCCTCCCAGGGGGTACCTCCGGGATGGGACTTACAGTTCGAAGAGCCGCAGCGTCTGGAAGAGTTGCCATGACAGGGTGGTGAGCCGGTTACCAGAGAGGTCTCTGAAAATTAACGGGAAAAAAAGAAGTCACCGTAAATAATTCCCCCTGCGCGTGGCCCTACTGCCACCACAGAGCCCGTCATCCTCTGCAGGGCTGTCAAGCAGTGTAGGACCTAGCTCTAGGTTTCCTAATGAGAGATTTTAATGAGGATGAACCTGAATGGAAGTTCTCTTTTTATTATTATTTTACCCCCAAAGGGAAAAATGGTTTGTATCCTGCTGGAGCGTTAAAATAATAATGAAAACAAAAAGATTTGTCTGATTCTTGCCCACGAATCCAGAGCCCAACCAACCATATGCAGAAAGAGCAGAAAGAACAAGCCTAATTTTGTAAGTTGAACAAAAAGTTAAGTACAAACATCGTGTTAAAAATATTAACAACCAGGTTGAAGTGACAGAATTATGATTACCCAAGGCATCATCACACAATACTTAGTGGCTGTGCATTAGAAGCATCCCATTATGGCTGTTTGCACCCAGGGCTGTTTGCACCCAGCTCCCTGCCCCTCCCTCCACCTGCCCAAGCTTGCCAAAACATAAATCTCATCAAAATCTCAAAAAACATAAACCTCATCTACCTGGGAGAGCTTCATGACCTGGCAGATATCACCTCTTTGGCTGGAGGCCAGAGAGGATAAGAGCGCAAAAGCAACCTGAGAAGTACTAAAAGCAAAAAAGAGGTGTTTTGGGGGGCAGGCTACGCAGGGAGGAGGCAGCCACACAAAGAGGAGAGCCTCGGGTTGCCAGCAGGGTGAGAAGGAGATAACGAAATCAGGCAGCCTTTGGGGAAGCAGAGGGAGGGTGGCCGCACATGCTGGCAAAATCCCAAATCCTCCCATGCCTGTGCGAGCATCCAGACCTCCAGGAAACACAGGAGGGGGCACTTTGCATCCTCCTTCACCGAGTGCAGTCCCATCCCCATCAGCTCCCTTCCCATCAAGTCCCACCCGCCACCACATGCCCCTGCAAAACCCCGCTCCCAAATTCCAAATTTAGGAGCTGCTGCTGCAGCTCTCACACCAAAGGCTCTTCCTGAGCCTGGCAGACACCAGCCCAAGCACCCCGAGAGCACGGTGCTGCATCATTAAATTCTGGCTCTGCCTTGCATCAGACTACCCTGCTGCGTAAAGCGCCGAAAACCACAGGTTCCTTGCTTCACATGACTGAGATCCCACCATTCCTAAGGCTTTAGACAAATTGCTTCCAGCCGCCAACAAAGTTTAGGAAGGCAGCAAAAAATAGCAAGTGATGTTAAGCAGAAGAAAAACTAAAAAAAAAAAAAAAAAAGTCACAAAACTCCCTCCTTTATCCACCCCGGAGCACTCGGCACCTGGGAAGTTTGCAAAGACAGATGAAAAGTAGGAGGGGAAGGAGCAGCTCGCTTCTAGAGAAAAGTGAGACAGTAAACTCCCTCCCCCTACACAGGGAGAAGAAAGAAGCGTAAAGGGGATGCAGGAGAGACAGCAAGATGTGGGAGAGAGGCAGAGATGCAGAGGAGGGAGTGAGTCTTGCTAGAATGTCCTTTCTCAAAGGTCATGTTTTGCTACATTAGGCAGAAATGTCAAGAGAAAATTGGATTCTGAAAGAGAAGAGAAAAAACAACAGGCTTTCCACGCAAATAAGGGAATCAAAAATAGCATGATCATGTTATTACAATTTAGGGCACAGAGAGATGAAGAAAGGAAGCGCCCTCACTAATGCAGGCAGCTTTGCCAGGCAGATGCGCTCCGCTTCTCTCCTCCGCTCTCTGCAAACCCGCTCCTAGCGCCCACCTGCCCCAAAAAGCCACAACCCACAGCGAGAGTTTAGGGGCAGCAGAGGAGCGTCTTCATGCAGATGTCTGCCCCTGCTCTGGCAGGGCTGGCACTGCCTGATCCGACTGCAGGACAGGTCAGGAGGGACGCGCCAGCAGCTCCATGTCAGGGCAGGCAGGACACAGGCAGGGAGGAGCGCGTTTGTCACCCAACAGACACACCAGACACCTTAAAATGTCAGCAAGGCCCTCGTAAAATGGCCCCTGGTATCAACGTGGAGACAGAAATACATCGTTTAGGTTGCAAAGGCAAACACTGGAAAGGTCAGGAATGCCAGGACCAGGTGTGCAGGTGCAAAGGGTCCATCCACCAACTGCACAGACACGGAGCTGCTGCAGAAAAACCTCCCTGCATGGCCCCGATCTCTCCCCAGAATAGATCCATCCCCTGCGCCGGATGGGGCAGGTTTCCTGGGGAAAATAGCGTGTGATTATGTAATTAGAGACGGTATCGCAGTACATGCACACGAGGAGATTAAATTATGGCTCCGCGGGTGAACGAAGCTCTGGCATTTTGTAACTCCTCTTCGGCACTCGCAAGGTTCCCACCGTGCTCTAACCCCAGTCATGCACACCGAGCTTCCCAGTGTTTGTAAGGCATAGGAGAGGAGGATTAGGGAAGAGCAAGACCTACCCCATCCAGGACTAGCCCTCTCCCACCTCCAGCTGCTCACTCTGCTTGGGAGGCCAGAAATCCATTATCACTTCCATGTCCCCAGCATTTCCAGTGACCTGAGACCACCACCTTCCACTCATCACTCTCCAGCCACCCCCAAACACTCCTCAGCCCCAAACTCCTCATCCACGCCCAAATTTCTTATGATCTTCCCATCCTCCCATTCCATCCCCAGTGTCCCAATAAGAGCTGCCCCCCACATCTCCCCCCAAAAATCCTCTGCCAAACTTCTCCCTCCAAATGGATCAAGAGATCCTACGTGAGACCCTGGAGAAATAAATTTGGGTGCCACAAGGCTGGAAAGCGTGGGTGTCACATGAAACTCAGGCAAGTTACCTGGGAACACCGTAGAAGTCTCCAAGCAATACCAGAGGGATTTCTTTTCCTTTCTTTTTAATTCAATTCAGTTTTGGCACACTTGTATGGGAAGAGCAAAATTAAGTCTTTCCTGCAATGCCTGCTCCTTGATGAGCAGCGTTCCCCCCTCCACAGGAGGGATGCAGGTGCTGGGACAGAAGCATCACCAGTGTTTTCTGGCTTGAGCCAAGCAGCCCATTTCCCCCATCTACCACCTGAACAGGCTTTATTTGAAACTTGAAAGAAATCATTAAAAAAAAAAAAAAAAAAAAGCCTTCAGTCAGGAGCAGACACCCAACACAGAAAACTTCAGCCTGAGCAATTAAAATTTGGCAGTTGCAGGGAAGTGGAAGCAGTCGTGGAGCAGAGCGTGCCAGACAACCTTTCTAACAGGCTGTGCATCAGCTCCACCTGTAATAAAATCTGGCACATCACGAGCCGAGGAGACGCAGGGGGAGAGGAGCAAAACGCCTTCCCCACGTATTTCGCGGCAGCAAGCACGAGCGTGCCTCGGGACGGAGCTGCCATCAGCACTCCCGTAACGCCGTCAAGCTGCTGCTTTGCCGTGGGACGTGTTCTCCATCACTCACAAGACACTGCTTTCCCCAGGGCAGCCTGTGTAGAAGGAGCTGCCAGGGGGCTTTTTGCCTCCCGAGGAGGTCTCAGAGCTGCGGGGGGGGACATGAAAGAGGGACCTGGACCCACGCAGCCCGGAGCGAGGGGACTTTCCTGAAAGTGGAAGCAGCGTGTTCTTCTTTTCCCTCAATCACCCAGCTGCCAAAAGAGTTCCCACTATTAAAGCCATTTTTATTCAGCTAAATTAAGCCGGATGCCTCATTAATGACACCAACAAGCAAGAGCCCCTGTAATTAAACTGTAAGCTATATTATATGGTTCAGCCCGACGCGGTGGCAGAAACGCTGCTGGGGAGGGACTCTCCTCGGCTGTCCCTCCTCCACTCGCCCTTATTTTCAACCTGACACATTTTCTCCTGCATGGGACAAGTCTTCCACGTATTTTAATAACACGGTGCTGCTCTGGAAGTCCTGATTGCAGGATTCACTGTGCGGAGCAGCTGGGGTTGGAGGAACTCAAGCAACAGCCTGGCACACATTCGAGGTGAAAAGTACCCCCTCAACTGCCCACCCCAGCACGGGATGTGCCAGTGGCACCACACCTGACTCCTTTGGTCCCTCCCGTGCCCTGGACACCCTGTCCAGCACAGCAGGTGCTTCCCATCATCTCACAGCTCACTGGGGATTTGGCTCAGTACAGGTGGCTGCAGGAGAGGACAAGGCTGGCAGCTGGAGGTATAGGGGTAGCTACATCCAGGCTTCATCTCTGCAGCAAGTAAAGCACTGAAGCTTTGGGTTTGAAAAAACAAAACACTGGAGTCATTCTGGGGCTTACTCATCTCTGACAGATGACTCTGGTGACCTCTAAAAGCAGTGCCACATGCCCCTCCTGCCCTCTCCATCACTCTCCCTCCCTTCCCTGTGTAGTAAGCAGCTTTGTTCATTAAGGAAAAAAAAAACAAGCTCTCCTTTCTTAATGAATGTGCTAAAATTACCCCAGCAAGTCCCAGAAGCAGTGGAAGTAGGGGCTCTCCACAGATCAGGCGCTGCAGACATTGGGCTCAATGGAGATCTCCGACAGCTCAGCGCCAAGCCCCAGCAGGACACACCTGAGGCAACGCCTGTGGAAGTGCCAGACGATGCCAAGCACACCCAGAAAGTGGGGATAGGCAGGGCAGGAACTGCCCAGGCTCCAGACACAGAGGAGTAAAAAAGCTTCCAAGGCTCAATCTTCCCTTGGGAGCTCGGACACCACAACTCCCTACTTGCTCATGTCCACGGCACTGTGCCACGCTCCATGAGGCACCTGAACTCACATGGTGCATCCCATCACATCACCTCATTCACCCCAAATTACTTCTCATTCTAAGGCTAGAGCCAGAATTTGCAACAATCTCCCAAGCTCAAAGCCTCCTGCGTCAGAGGAGAGCAGAAGACCCTCGTCACGGAGGCAAGGAGAAACCCTGCCACCCCAAGCCCGTGTCCCTCCCCGCCTCCTGCTTACAAGCCCGTGATTTGCAAACCCCGAACGTCACTGAAACAGGATCGAAGGAGGTGGAGAGGGGCTGCTCCTCTGCATT